TCGAAACATGTTTAGAGTGCGTCGAAACACATTTAGAGTGCACCAAAATACGTTTAGAGTGCATCCAAACACATTTAGAGTGCATCCAAACATGTTTAGAGTGCGTCAAAACATATTTAGAGTGCATCCAAACATGTTTAGAAAGCATTCAACATAGTAAGAGTGCGTCGAAACATGTTTAGAGTGCATCCAAACATGTTTAGAGTGCGTCCAAACACTTTTCGAGTGTGTCGAAACATGTTTAGAGTTCGTCAAAAGATGTTTGGAGTGCACCAAAACACGTTTAGAGTGCATCCAAACACATTTAGAATGCATCCAAACATGTTTAGAGTACGTCAAAATATACTTAGAGTGCATCCAAACATGTTTAGAGAGCATCCAAACATTTTTAGAGTGCGTCGAAACATGTTTAGAGTGCATCGAAACATGTTTAGAGTGCGTCCAAACATGTTTAGAGTGAATCGAAACTTTTTTAGAGTGCGTCAAAACATGTTTAGAGTGCATCCAAACATGTTTAGAGTGCATCTAAACATGCTTAGAGTGCATCCAAACTTTTTTAGAGTGCGTCAAAACATGTTTAGAGTGCGTCGAAACATGTTTTGAGTGCAACAAAAGATGTTTAGAGTTCATCGAAACTTGTTTAGAGAACACCAAAACATATTCAGAGCGCTTCCAAACATGTTTAGAATGCGTTGAAACATATTAAGAGTGTATACAAACATGTTTAGAGTGCACTAAAATATTTTTAGAGTGCATCGAAACATGTTTAGAGTGCGTCGAAAAATGTTAAGAGTTCGTCTCAACATGTTTTGAGGGCACCAAAACACGTTTAGAGTGCATCCAAATAAATTTAGAGTGCATCAAAACATGTTTAGAGTGCGTCAAAACAATTTACAGTGCATCCAAACATGTTTAGAGAGCATCCAAACATTTTCAGAGTGCGTCGAAACATGTCTAGAGTACATCCAAACATGTCTAGAGTACATCCAAACATGTTTAGAGAGCATCCAAACATGTTTAGAGTGCGTCCACACACGTTTAGAGTGCGTCGAAACATGTTTAGAGTTCGTATTAAGACGTTTTGAGTGCACCAAAACACGATTAGAGTGTATCCAAACACATTTAGAATGCATCCAAACATGTTTAGAGTACGTCAAAATATACTAAGAGTGCATCAAAACAGACTTAGAGTGCGTCGAAACATGTTTAGAGAGCATCCAAACATCTTTAGATTGCGTCGAAACATGTTTAGAGTGCATCCAAACAGACTTAGAGTGCATCCAAAGATGTTTAGAGTTCGTCGAAACATATTTAGAGTGCGTCGAAACATGTTTCGAGTTCATCCAAACATGTTTTGAATGCACCAGAGTGCATCCAAACATGTTTAGAGTGCGTCAAAACATACTTAGAGTGCATCCAAACATATTTAGAAAGCATCCAAACATTGTAAGAGTACGTCGAAACATGTTTGGAGTGCATCCAAACATGTTTAGAGTACGTCCAAACACGTTTAGAGTGCGTCGAAACATGTTTAGAGTTCGTCTAAAGATGTTTTGAGTGCACCAAAACACGTTTAGAGTGTATCCAAACACATTTAGAATGCATTCAAACATGTTTAGAGTACGTCTAAACATACTTAGAGTGCATCAAGTTTAGAGAGCATCCAAACATTTTTAGAGTGCGTCGAAACATGTTTAGAGTGCATCCAAACAGACTTAGAGTGTGTCGAAACATGTTTCGAGTTCATCCAAACATGTTTTGAATGCATCCAAACACATTTAGAATGCATCCAAACATGTTTAGAATGCGTCAAAACATACTTAGAAAGCATCCAAACATGTTTAGAGAGCATCTAAATATTTTTAGAGTGCGTCGAAACATGTTTAGAGTGCATCCAAATATGTTTAGAGTGCGTCCAAACATGTTTAGAGTGCATAGAAACTTTTTTAGAGTGCGTCAAAACATGTTTAGAGTGCATCCAAACATGTTTAGAGTGCATCCAAACATGTTTAGAGTGCATCGAAACTTTTTTAGAGTGCGTCCAAACATGTTTAGAGTGCATCGAAACTTTTTTAGAGTGCGTCGTAACATGTTTAGAGTGCATCCAAATATGTTTAGAGTGCGTTCAAACATGTTTAGAGTGCATCGAAACTTTTTTAGAGTGCGTCAAAACATGTTTAGAGTGCATCCAAACATGTTTAGAGTGCATCCAAAGATGATAGAGTTCGTCGAAACATATTTAGAGTGCTTCGAAACGTGTTTCGAGTTCGTCCAAACATGTTTTGAATGCACCAAAACACGTTTAGAATGCATCCAAACACATTTTAGAGTGCATCCAAACATGTTTAGAGTGCGTCAAAACATACTTAGAGTGCATCCAAACATGTTTAGAAAGCATCCAAACATTGTAATAGTACGTCGAAACATGTTTGGAGTGCATCCAAACATGTTTAGAGTGCGTCCAAACACGTTTAGAGTGCGTCGAAACATATTTAGAGTTCGTCTAAAGATGTTTTGAGTGTACCAAAACACGTTTAGATTGTATCTGATATGATCCTAGAGGGATATATCCAGAAACTCAAAACAATCGATCATTATCAGGTTGTCCATGTCCAAGGAATCTCGGTTTTGGGCAGAACGAGCATGATGGAGCAATTTGGTCATAACTTTGCACTCCGATGTCCAAACGATGTGATTCCAGGTGGAAATGAATCCTAACTCACCAAAGGTCTGATCTAAAAAATATGAGATCCAAAGGAGAAAGCTTCAATTCTGGGGAGAGGACGCAATCCACGGTTCAGTCCTGAGAATACAGATTGAGCAGGTTGTCTTGTTTCATTCATAACTTTTGATTAGAGACTCCGATCACAGTTCCGTTTGAAGCAGCATAAACTAGACATCCAGAGCTTTACGGGGATATAAAGTATATAATATTTGGTGAAGGTTTGGTCCCTCAATCAGTCGTTTGAAGGTCACGTCCGTTCTAGCTCTAAATCTGATGAATTCGATCCAAGAATGACATAATTCTTGTTGGGCCAATTTCTCAACAAAACCAAGAGCCCATAACAAGATTGGATAAGGCCCAAGTCAAGATTTAAAGAGAAGAATCTGATTAGTTGGTCAAGGTCAAGATCAAATGGTCTTTCAAACTTTGCATTTATTGCTTTGGGATTTGTTTTTGACCACATAGATTTTTGTTGTCTTTTTATTTCTTTCTATCTTTTTGTAGCCTATAAATAGGCAAAGAAATCAGATTATAAAAAATAAGATGAGTTTTCTTTGAGTGTCACTTTTAAGTGAGTTTGAGCTTTTTAGCTCATGGTTCTTTTTGGAACCGTTGAACTTATCGAATGGAGAGATTTCGTTCGTGGCGTTCATCGACTTATCAGCTCGTTAGTGCCATAAACGGGTTGTGGCGTCTTCGCTCGTTTCAAAGGTTCTCTAACCGGGTCTGGATTGGGTTTAGGGCGTTTTTGTGACTGGAACAAGCCCTAGGTTCGGTTCACGTGTCGTTATGGGTTTTTGAACATCCATCGACTATCTATCCTTCTTACCTAATTTTGAGATTCGTCGATCCGGGTTCGTATCATTTGGTATCAGAGCCTCGTTTCCCTATATTAGGTTTTATCTATATCTATTTATCTTTTCCATTTCATTTTACATTTTCATCATCTTTGTTTCTAATCATTTCTCTTCGTTTTTGAAGGTTTAAAAGAAAAACGAAAAAAAAAATCAGCAAAAAAAAAAAGAAGAAGAGATATACAAGTGAAAAAGAAAAAAAAAAGAATCGAAGGAAAAAAAAAGAAAAAAAAGAGCTTAAAAAAAAGAGAGAAGAAAAAAAAAGTTGATTTCGTCTTGCAAAAAAAGAAGAGAAAAAAAAACGTGTTTTCTTACATTGAATATTTTGTTTTCGTTTACACTTGCACGGTTTATCTAACGGGGTTGGGTTGTGGAAATAGTGTGCGATTTGTTAATTGAATACTTTTCCTTTGACCTATTGAGTTTGTTGTTAGTGCAAACCAGACATACAAGAAGAAACAGGAGAGCTTGAGTGACACAAAATTGAGCGAAACACTATTCTAGTGGTTGTGAGGTTCTCTCATCCTCTTTTCCTTTGTCTCTTTCTGTTTTATCTAACGTTAGATTGTTTTGCAAGGTACAACAATGAGTGACGAAACAAACACTAGTACTGTTCGTGAATCGGGTGATCATGCCGGCTTCAATCGATTGCAACTCGAAGCTATACAGCAGACCTTGGCACAACAAATCGAACGACTTGCCGAACGATTTGAGGATAGGTTTGCACAGCTAGAGATTGGTAGAGCCGCCCCACCACAAGCTCAACGTCATAGACAAAGAGATGAGCAATACGTGGAAGAAGTAGAAATCAATTCTGATGAGGATCCCATTCTCGCGCCAAGACAACGACGACATGCAAGACAAGCAAGGGATCGTTTGGATGATGACCTTGGTAACATCCGCATGGAGATTCCTTCTTTCAATGGAAGGAATGATGCTGAAGCTTATCTTGAATGGGAACGAAAGGTGGAGATCGTGTTTGAATGCCATCAATACTCCGAAAGAAAGAAGGTAAAGCTTGCATCGGCTAAATTCAAAAATTATGCACTAATATGGTGGGATCAGATGGTTGAGACTAGGAGGCGCATGGAGGAACTTCCAATCAACACATGGGAAGCTATGAAGCAAGTGATGAGGCGACGTTTTGTGCCTTCATACTACCATCGAGAAGTTTGTCGGAAACTGCGACAATTGACACAAGGGAGTCGTAGCGTCGAAGAATACTATAAGGAGATGGAGATACTAAAGATTCGTGCTCATATTGACGAGGGTCAAGAAGCTGCCACAGAACGGTTTCTTGGGGGATTGAACCAAGAAATTCAAAACCGTGTTGAAACACATCACTACGAGGGGTTGGAAGATCTCTTGCATCTTTCCATCAAAGTCGAGCGGCAACTCAAGGGGAAGAGTAAAATACCGCAATGATCCGGTTCGACATCATACTCTCAGTCAAATCATTGGAAGCAAGAGAAGCCGAATACTACTTCCAAATCCGAGCCCAAATCGGAATCGCTAAAACCCAAGGCACAAGGTACTGGCAATACCTCTCAAACACGTAACCGTGATATCACATGCTTTCGATGTCTGGGCAGGGGTCATTATGCTAGAGATTGCGCAAACAAACGCGTGATGGTTATGCGAAATGGAGAGTATGAAACTGAATCCGAAAGTGGAGATGGACAAGAGAATAGTCATGAGTTTTCTTCGGACTCAGATGACTATGAGGAGCAGCCCGCTCCTAGAGGTGATCTGTTGGTTGCAAGGCGTGCCTGGAATTTGCAAACCAAAGTGGAGGCTATCGAGCAACGAGAGAATATCTTTTACACTCGCGGGTTTATTCAGGAGAAGCTTTGTAGTGTGATAATTGATGGAGGAAGCTGTACCAATGTAGCAAGTGAGTCGATGGTTACAAAATTGGGATTGCTTACCACTCGGCATCCTAAGCCATACAAGCTCCAATGGTTGAACGATAGCGGAGAAACAAAGGTACATCGACAAGTGAAGGTACCTTTCTCTATTGGTGACTATGATGATGAAGTGTTATGCGACGTAGTACCCATGCAAGCAGGGCATTTGCTACTTGGGCGTCCATGGCAATTTGATAGACGGGTCAAACATGACGGTTACATCAACCGATATTCATTTGAAAACAAGGGCAAGCGGTTTCGATTGTTACCTCTCACACCGAAAGAGGTATACGAAGATCAAGTTACACTACTCAAAAGAGAAAAAGCGTTGAATACGAGTGACCATGAGGTAGATCACTTAAAACTTGGTGAGGTCTTGAGAAAACCCCAGAAAAAAGCCTGTGAGAGAAATCCCGAGAGGACAAACACTCTTCTTTTCACGAGAGCTAGAGAGATTAAGAAAGCTATGCTTTCGAACCGGCCGATGATTTTACTCATGTACAAGGAGGCCTTATTTGCTAACGAACTAATCTCTTCTTTGCCTAGTGGTGTTTGTAAGTTGTTACAGGATTACGAGGATGTCTTTCCGGAAGAGATCCCGAATGGTCTACCACCCTTGCGAGGAATTGAGCACCAGATTGACTTCGTACCCGGTGCTAGCCTTCCAAACAAACCAGCGTACCGCACTAACCCAGATGAAACAAAGGAGCTTCAACGACAAGTGACTGAACTCCTGGAGAAAGGTTATGTTCGGGAGAGCATGTCGCCATGTGCCGTACCGGTAATTCTAGTTCCAAAGAAAGATGGAACGTGGCGCATGTGTGTTGATTGTCGAGCAATCAATAACATAACGGTGAAGTATCGACACCCTATACCTCGTCTTGATGATATGCTAGATGAATTGTATGGTTCTACTGTGTTTTCAAAGATAGATGTGAAGAGTGGATACCATCAAATTCGTATGCAAGAGGGTGATGAATGGAAGACAGCGTTCAAAACGAAGCTAGGACTCTACGAGTGGTTGGTAATGCCTTTTGGTTTAACTAACGCACCTAGCACTTTCATGCGGCTTATGAATCATGTTCTCAGAAATCTCATTGGAAAATTCGTTGTTGTTTACTTTGACGATATCTTAGTTTACAGCAAGAGTTTAGGAGAACATGTTGAACATCTACGTTGTGTTCTTGACATACTGCGAGGCGAGAAATTATACGCTAACCTTAAGAAATGCACCTTTTGCACTGATAAGGTTGTTTTCCTAGGATTTGTTGTCAGTTCACAGGGCATACATGTAGATGAGGAAAAGATAGAAGGCATCAAGAGTTGGTCGACTCCTAAGTCTGCCAGTGAGGTTCGAAGTTTTCATGGCTTGGCAGGATTTTATCGGCTGTTTCGACGCACTCTAAACGTGTTTCGACGCACTCTAAACGTGTTTTGACGAACTCTAAACATGTTTCGAGTGCGTCCAAACGCAAGAGATGGCATTCTAAACATTAAAAGAGACGACATTCCAAACATTGACGGAAGTGATTAAAAAAGATAACAAGTTCCGTTGGGGAGAAGCGCAAGAGACGACATTTCAAACATTAAAAGGGAAGTTGATCGACTCTCCACTCTTGACTTTACCTAATTTCGAGAAAACATTTGAGATCGAATGTGATGCTTCTGGTGTAGGAATTGGTGCGGTGCTGATGCAAGAAGGGAGGCCAGTCGCATACTTCAGCGAAAAGTTGAGCGGAGCTCAATTGAATTATTCGACGTATGACAAAGAGATGTATGCAGTGGTGAGGGCTCTGCAAACGTGGCAACACTACTTGTGGTCGAAGGAGTTCGTGATTCACACCGATCATGAATCGCTCAAGTACCTAAAGGGACAACACAAGTTGAGTCGAAGACATGCCAAGTGGGTAGAATTCATTGAAATGTTTCCTTATGTTATCCGACATAAGCAAGGTAAGGAAAACATTGTGGCTGATGCATTGTCTAGACGATACACGTTGTTAACTTCTTTGGATGCGGGAATGCTAGGGTTTGAACATATTAAGGAGTTGTACGAATCTGATCAGGAATTCCAAGATGTGTTCAAGGCATGTGAAAAGGTTGCAAGTGGAAAATATTATCGGTTCGAAGGGTATTTATTCCGTGAGAACAAACTTTGTGTGCCTAATTGTTCTATGCGAGATTTGCTTGTTCAAGAGGCTCATGGAGGCGGTCTCATGGGACATTTTGGAGTGGCCAAGATCTTGTCAACTTTGCAGGAACACTTCTATTGGCCAAATATGAAGAGAGATGTTGAACGGGTGTGTGGAAGATGCATGAAGTGCAAGAAGGCGAAATCCAAGGTACAACCCAATGGTATGTATACGCCTTTACCGATTCCCAGTGCACCATGGATTGATATTTCAATGGATTTTATTGTTGGGCTGCCTAGACCTAGGACTGGGAAGGATTCTGTGTTTGTTGTGGTTGATAGATTTTCGAAAATGGCACATTTTATCCCTTGTCATAAAACCGATGATGCATCCCATATTGCTGCTTTGTTCTTTCGAGAAGTTGTTCGGTTGCATGGCATGCCCAGGACGATTGTTTCGGATAGAGATACTAAGTTCCTAAGTTACTTTTGGAAGACTCTATGGGGAAGATTAGGGACTAAGCTACTCTTTTCGACGACTTGTCATCCACAAACCGATGGACAAACGGAAGTGGTGAATAGGACTCTTTCTACGTTGTTGCGTGCTTTAATTAAAAAGAACCTTAAAACGTGGGAAGACTGTCTACCGCATGTTGAGTTTGCATATAATCGATCTGTGCATAGTGCTACGCGTTACTCGCCTTTTGAAATCGTTTACGGTTTTAATCCACTAACACCATTGGATCTTTCGCCATTGCCGATGAGCGAAATGACTAACCTTGACGGAAAGAACAAGGCTGAGTTTGTAAAACAGATTAATGAAGCGGCCCGCAAGAATATTGAGCGACGCATGGAGCAATACGCTAAGCAAGCAAACAAAGGGCGCAAGGAAGTATCCACCAAGAGATATATTTGGATGCACTCTAAATTCCATTCTAAACGTGTTTTGGTGCCCTCAAAACATGATGAGACAAACTCTAAACATGTTTCGACGCACTCTAAATATGTTTCGTAGAACTCTAAACATGTTTGGATGCACTCTAAGTCTGTTTGGATGCACTCTAAACATGTTTGGATGCACTCTAAACATGTTTGGACGCACTCTAAAAAAGTTTCGATGCACTCTAAACATGTTTGGACGCACTCTAAACATATTTGGATGCACTCTAAACATGTTTCGATGCACTCTAAACATGTTTTGACGCACTCTAAACATGTTTAGGCGAACTCTAAACATGTTTCGACACATTCTAAATATGTTTCGTCGAACACTAAACATCTTTGAATGCACTCTAAGTCTGTTTGGATGCACTCTAAACATGTTTCGACGCACTGTAAAAATGTTTGGATGCTCTCTAAACATCTTTGGATGCACTCTAAGTATGTTTTGGTGCATTCAAATCATGTTTAGACGAACTTGAAACATGTTTCGACGCACTCTAAATATGTTTCGATGAACTCTAAACATCTTTGGATGCACTCTAAGTCTGTTTGGATGCAATCTAAACATGTTTCGACGCACTCTAAA